TTAAGGGTTTACCCTTTTTATAGTTTTTGCTTAATAGTTTACTTCCATAATACAACCCAATGATAATTCCAGTAAGAGAATTATCACCACTAAGAGAACCTTATGTGGTTGCTCACGTAGAAGTTTCAAATCTAATCAGTTAGCTAAGGATGCCCCAGAAAAGACTGCCTATTGCTGGTGTTCCTGCACCATGGAGGACAAATTCTTATTTTCAATATAAAAGTCTTACATGCAGTTGTTTTCAGTCTGTCAGTTGTAGTTAAAAAGGGAATAGAAAGGAGAGGGCAAGGAGGGAGTGTAATACGTACCCTACCACTGTGTACTCAAATTGTGGTCCAGAGGCCAGCAGCATTAGCATCATGAGATCGCCTACCAGAAACAGAGTCTCAGACCCCAACCCAGAGCTGCTGTATCTGAATCTGCATTTTGAGAGACCCCTAGGCAAATTCCTGTGTACATTGAAGTTTGAAGAGCTCTGCTGTAGTGAATGATGACAGTACTTGATTCACCAGAAGCGATTTACCTGTCTTAGCATACTTAGGCCTTATTTGCTCAGCTTTTCTCTATCAGCTGTAAGTATTAGGGTTGAGAATCAGAGTTTAATTTTGTTTGCAGCTAGAGACCAGGCCAACTCTCACGTTTGGCTAAACAGCGACATTTTGTCAAGGGGAGGGCAGGAGTTGTTGACACACAGATGACGTGCCCCCTGACTTCATGGTAGCAAGTGAGGGGCTGCTTCCCTGCCCTGGAGCAGAATGGTTTCCACACTGCAGTTACTGCTGTGATCTCCCCCTACCTTTTTATCCCCTGTTAACCAGCAGAGCAGAGAATAAAAATAATGATTCATTTAATTTTTTTTAGAATTTATCTTGTCCATTTTTTACTTTACATGATATTATCATGGATTTTTCAGGGAAAAAGTCTGATGAAAAGTGTGGCTTCCTTAGTGATGTGCCAGGCAGTCCTTCTGGACTAAACTCAGTGACAGAACTGACAAATGTCAGGGTTGAATCATGGTTAGATGGTCAGGGTTAGATCAGGGCTAGACCTAAGCCTGGTTTAAAGAATACTTCTGTTTGGTATTTATCTAGTTGTACATCAGTAGATCTTCAAGTGGAAAACCTTTGTGTTAAATAGTCATTATCTACCATTGTCACATGTATACAGTGACACTTAGAGAAGCCTTTTATTGTCACTTAGAGAAGCCTTTTATTGTCAGAGTAAATGAAAAAATGCTAATATATAGCCATCACCAGTATAGCAAGTACTTGTATGTTCAACTCATTCATAACGTGATGCAAAGTTTGTCTTTTTGATCTTTTCTACTATAAGTGATGGTCATAGATTACTTCTGTACAGATAAAATTCTGCTTCGTTTTCTTTTTTAAAAGTAATGATTAAAACAAAAACCCTGTTGGTGATCAGAGGATTAATTAAGACTACTAAAATAAGCCATTAGTTAATCCCAGGGCATTTCCTTCACATTCTTTACTGGAGATGGTTTCTTGGTGTCATTGCATGAAAGAATTGAAGAATGGATGCAAAAGCCACTGAGCTTTTGGAATTTGTTGGAAAATAAGAGTTTTAAAGAAAAGCAAAAAGTACGTGCTTGAGAGTTGAGGGAGGGCAGGCAAGATGGGGAGGGAAGGAGAGAGAGAGAGACATCCTGCAGCACACACCAAGGAGACAAATAGGAAGCTTTTTTATGTAGAGTGAGATGAATTCTTACCAAGTGGGAATTGGTTTTAAAGGGAACAGGTGGAGTCTTCTTGGGGTTTGGGCTTGCTGCACCCTCACACTGTGCAGTGAAATTTTTGGTCTTCATTGGAACTGTCATGGCAGCCATCCCTGCAAGGGGGAGGGGGGTCACAACCACAATGTAAACAATAGCCAACGTCCCCACCCCCTTTCCCTGCTTATATGGTTGTCTACCTACTCTGAAAGTTCCATGAAGAAGCCATCAGCTTTTTAGAAGCACTGTCGCTGTTATACTCTAGTTCAAGCCACTGTAATCTCTTGCCTGGATTGTTTCAGTAGCTCAATAACCGTGCTCCCTTGCTTTCTCTTTGTCTGTTCTCAAAACAGCAGTCAGATCATATTTGTCTTTGCCCAAAACACCTCATTTGCATTCCAGGGCTCTCAGAACAAAAGCTGAAGGCCTTAGAGTACTTTAAGAAGCCCCTTACCTCTCTGACCTCACATTCTGCTACCACCATTTCCCTTGTATATCCCAGGTCAGACAGGCCACACTTCTGCCCCAGGGCCTTTGCACTTGCCGATCCTTCTGTCTGGAACTATCTTTCCCAAGATATTCCCAAACTTCCTTAAGATCTTTGCTCAAATATCAATTTTTCAGTGAGGCTTCTTTATGATCCTATTTAATAACCCCCTGCCATACATACAGCTGACATATTTTGTTTTTTTGCTTAATACATTGCTTATTTCCTTCTATAATGTTCTTCCTTGAGAGCATGAGGTTTTGTCTTGTTCATTTTACATCCACAGCACCTAGAACAATGCCTCACTTATTAGAGGTGCAGACGTTTTGTTGAATGAATGAGGGACATTGCCACTCTCCAACCCCATGGCTAGATATGAATTTAGAGCCAAAGGCATTGTGAGACTTCTTCCTACAAGTTTTGTTCTCATTCTCATCACATAAGAGTACTGAAATATTAGAACATTTTAAAATATTTACCACAGCTGTGAGCTATTTAAAACATTCTATGCAGTGAGTTAGGAAATGCCAATTAATTGTTGATTTGTAAGGCAAATGGGAGAATAACAGTCAGTACACACTAGGTCTCTTGTGTGCCAAGCATGTGGATTCAGGCCCTGGGGGGTGGGGGAGGTGCAGTACATGGGGCCTCCTTCAGGGACCTGCACCTTTCTTGCCTTTGGCCCCTTAGTTGCAGCAGCGTCCCACAGTGAGCATCCCACAGTGAACGCCAAGTCTTTCATGCTCCCTGTCTGCGGACTACTGCCCTGGGCATATGTTCGCATGTGTGCGTGTGTGTTAGTTTGCAAGTGTTTCATCAAGGGCTTCCTTTGGCCACAGTTTATGTTTTTCTTTTTGTTTACAGTGTTTCTTAGTAACCCACTACCACAAGTCCCCTTTGCAGTGTTGCTACCCAAATGTTGTCTTAAACTTTGTGCTATTTCTCTTTTAGTACTTAAGGTTTATTTTTGCCACAAAAGTCTAGGAAACTAAGTTACAGAAGTGACTGTAGACGGTGCCCGTCTAATTATTGGCACTGCAGGGGTGGGAGGACACACTGGGGAGGATGGAGCCCACTTAGGGAAGCCCTCTGGTCTACCTGGCAGAATAACTCATTTAAGTGATGGATGCAGCAGGTTCTAACAGCTGCAAGGCCATCATCACTTAATAAAGTATCTCTTGCATGTCCACTATTGTGGAACATGCTAATAAAATGATCACAGTATGCACCCTCATGGAGATTCTCATAGTCTAGTGAGAGAAATAAACATAAATTTTGAAATCTCATAAATGTATAATTATGAACTATGATCAGTGCTACAAAGGTGCAGATCAAGAGCAATGGGGTCTTAAAATAGGGGAATCTGTCCTAGTCTTGGGATGATGTAACATTTGGGTTAGGATCTGCAGGTTACTAGGCATATGTGACCTTTGGGGGGTAATGGGCAGGGTGTGTGCCTTAATTTCAGGCAGAGGAAATAAGGTGTAGAAAATCTCTGAGGTGTTGAGGGATCTTGTTCATTCAAGAGAGTAAAAGGAGACCAGTGTGGCTGAAGTAGGTGAAGGTGACAGAGTGGTAGTGGTGCACGGAGGAGGTTGGAGGTGCTGAGCAGGACAAGAGCAAGGCCTTAGAATCAACTTTGGGTATTTATTGTAAGATCAATGCAGAGCGTTGAAGAAGTTTAAATAGGGCTGAGTTTTTCTATTTTTAAAAGTTTAATCTGGACGCACTGTGGATAATGGACTGGAAGGGAGAAAGAGCAGAAATTGGGAAAATAGCTAGCAGTGTTTTGTGTTTGTCCAGAAGGATGATAGCAGCTTGACTAGGAAGGTGGTGGTAGAAGAGGTGGGGCAACACTTGTTTGGAGAGAGAATATTAGAGGCCATTGGCATCTGGATTGTGAATGTTTTGATGCCCACTCACACAACAACTTTCTGTTACTTTGGCTTGATCTTTTACCTACCTATAAGGTGCCTATATCTGGGATTTGAGGACATACTTATTGTGTAAAGAAATGTGAACACATGGCCAGGCTGGATGGAGCAGGTGTCCAAGCTGTCTGGCAAGTATATTTTTCATTGTAAATGAATGCATAGGCATTCTGGCTTTGTGTATCAATCTCTGAGTAGTTTTCATTAGCATGAATCAGTATTGATAAGCATCATCATTTTTGGATCCTCAGTGAAAAAGACTTTTGGAGCTAGCAGGGTTGGGGGCAGAACTTAAACAGTCATGAATTCACCAAGGTAAATGTCACTTGATGGAGACACTGTGAACAGCGACATATCCTAGTCAACACCCTCTTTTGATGGGTGCTTTTCCATAATGGTTTTTAAAAATTTTAAGTGAATCTGTGATAGCTGTATTCACCAGTTGTTTCTATCTCTAGAGCATCAATTTTACCACACAGCCAGGAAAGATGCTGCTCACCTAAAAAATAACTTCTGAGGGAGTGTAGTTTGAAAGGCATATGAAATGTAGAAGGATTCAGAGTCAAGGAGAATCTTACTTTAAATTGTTTCTCTGTGCATCTATTTATGATGGTGTGTTGATTTCTTTTGAAACCGTAAGGCATTTGTTTTCAAATCTCCTATTATCTATACATACAGTTATACTGTCTTAATGGTTCTCTTCAGGGACTCAGTAAAATTAGGCAGCTGAAATAATTGGCCAAAGTTTAATGAAGCCCTTTTGATACTTGAATTCAGAAGACATCAACTGTGATACGAAACATACGTGTGCATTTCTAACTACTAAAAATGTTTTCCTTATCTCTTGCAGAAGAAAAATGGAGGAAACTGCGGTATGTTCAATGGAACAGAATAAACCACTGAACAGGTAACAGAAATTAGCAGGGGTTGTATATATGTTAATTAGATGAGTTAATATTTGTGACGTCCTTGGAAGAGTACCTAGCACATAGTAAATACTATAAGTGTTTGCTGTTACTAAGTTCTTCCAAAGTCCAGTATTTCATTCAGTTTACCTGAGCCCAGGCCAACTGGTCATATGGCCAAAAACTGTCTAACAAAAAGCAAACACTTTGCTCCTAAAGCAAGTGTGAACATCAGTAGTAAGTTCTGACATGGTCTCTGTGTGACCTGTTAACAGTGGCCCAAGAAACTAATTTCTTAATCTTTGAGCACTGCAAGTATTTGAACACCCAGTTTTGTTTTTGAACACTCATCATGATTACCTTATAAGTGTCAGATCAGTTTCAATTTTGAAACAAATCAAGCTTCTTTAAAATTCTTGAAGATGTAGTTTCTTATCATTTGGGGAAATGGCTTAGCGTACAGGTAGCCACTGAAATGGCTTGTGGATAGTTAGGAAAGCGAGGATAGCAGTGAGAACAGCACTCAGCGGTTTCTGAGGATGGCCAGTGGCAACTTCAAATACAAAGTTTCCAGCTATTGACCCTGCCTAGGCACTAAATCATGTCATAACTGTTGGTGTTACTGAGGCCTCCTGACACATTCAACAAATGTTTTTAAGGGGCATATCATGTGTCAAGTGCTGTGCTTGGCATTGAGGTGGCAGAACTGAACATGCCCCCTTTCTTTCTCCTCACCCACCCTCATCTCTCTGGATCTGCACCAGTTCCTGCCTTTTTTTACCTCTCTGTGGGGAGGCAGGTCTCCTGGCTAGAGTGGTGCTCCAGCGCCCCCCAGCCCGGCCCCCTCTTCCTCAGCTCTTCTACCTCCCCTGGCTCCTGCCCCTCAGCACGTTGGCATGCTGGTCATTCGGGGCTGGGAGCCGGGCCCACAGTCTGGTGGGGTAGGCAGGCACTGCTCTAGACGGCATTCTCATGGTACTTTCACACACATCCCCGCGCCAACTTCTGTTTCACAGTTTACTTTGCTTATTTTCAATGCTCCATCGTTTTATGTTTTGCCGTGCTTCCCTTCTGGAATCTTAGGATATTATCTTTGGAAGTATTAGTATTTGGAGGTATTACAGAGGACATTACTAACTTGAGGGAGGTGGGCACTGCTGGTGCACTCAATATGTGAGTGACTTTCAGACCTTTTTATTGGGACTCACAGGGAGAAATGCTGTTATATTAGGACCCAATGCACACAGTTGTACAAGTGGATGTATGGTTTTCCAAAATAATACCTTTTCTGTATGTGAGTTGTGATACAATTTTCTAGTCTATTCTATCACTCTTTTCTTTTTAATGTTCTTCTTAACCTACAAAATGGGTTTCATACCTAGTAGTCAATTGTGCTTGGACACACTTGAAATATTTTTATGCAGTGACAAGGACAGATGCTTTCTTGCCTTTCTCTCCATTTTCTGTAGTAATGGGCACAAATCTCTTGTAGCCTTAGAAACCCCTCAAACTTGCCTTCACTTAAATATTTATGTGTAATACTCTGTCCTTCCTTTGGACATTCTTCTCCTAACCAGTAGCCAAGAATCATTGTATTTACTATTTTGAATGCAATAGGTTACTTTGTACTGTTAGATCTTTGCATATTAAATATGATTTTCAGAATAGTGACACATTTCTTTTTCACTAAATCCTAAATTTGTTTAAATCCCCATAATCAATTTTTCAGAAACAGTTATTCTGATGGTTTTATCTCATGATTTATGCCTTTATAGGCCTTTAGGGATCACAAAATTACAGCATTTAGCAGGGGAGGGGGATCTTCTGTACCTTTTTATCTTTTCAGTTGGTGTCATGAGCTGTAGAGAGACACTTGTTTACCCAAATGTGGTGTTTGCATTATTTCTCTAGCCTGAAGTCTGTTATCTTGTCATTTTTAGGACCTTAAATTTTCATAGTGTGCAGGTAAGCTTGTTTATTGGAATACGATACCCCAATCTCCCCAAGCATTTTTAGGATTTCTAGCTCAACGTCTAATGACCTGAAACGTTTTCATACTTCAACCAATCAAGAAGCTGATACCTAACTGGGGGGAAAGTATTTCATGGTAAAACTTGATTCCTTATCTTCATGTGTTCTTACTGGGACTACAAAATGATAGTTTAGCACCCAGCATGCTGGGATGCATTTAAAACTTTTGGAAATGATAATTCAGTCTTCCAAGATGGTTAAGAACTTTTTAAAAATGGTGTAGGTTTGCAGCATGGTTTGTTATATGAGGTATATTTGGTACTATTTATAAGTTTAGTGCTGAAAAAACAAGAATCTGAAATCTATTGCTTATTTATTTTCAAGTCTTATTAATACTATCATAGTGACTCAATTCTCACTGATTTCAGAGGCAACTTTATTTATAAAGGATTCATAATTATATACATGTAAGATTACCTAATGCACACAATGGATTTTGAAGAGTATGATGTGCAAAATGATTCTCTTAAACAAAACTAAACTAATAGTCACCTATTTTTGAGGAATCTTTCCAAAGTTCACAGGCAATAAATGAGACTAGTACTCAGTATGCGCCTGGAAGCCAGTGGAAAAACACTGGAATGTGTATGTTAGTCCCATTAACCAACAGCTTTGTGAGTATACAAAAGAGACAGCTAAATCCTTGCCCCTGTCATGGCTCCACCTCATAAGCATTTGCCTCTTCTCTCTATTTCAAAAGAAACCTAAGTATCAGGACAAGATTTACTGCCTCCAGAGAAAGGCAGAACTGAAAAAGATATCATTAATGGTTTAAGAGGACAAATATATGACAGAAATGTAAATAGTATTTGAGAATGTAAAATAAACTGAGTTTAATAACCCCAGGCAAAAAGAATGACATGTGTTTTTAGAAGTATTTCATTCTTGTCCAGTTTCTCTGGCCATTTTCTTTGATTCATTTTCTGAGAAAGTAACCTGAAATGCAGAGAGAAACTATCGTTCCTTTTACCCAGGCGCCTAGATTGGTCATGGGAAGTCTGTCAGGTAGCCAAGCACTTACTTTAAAGGCATGAATGAAAGAAGAGGAAGACAGTAAAACAACATAGTAAATGTGTTTTGGGTTGCTGGTTTTGAACTTCAACACTAAACTTCAAGTCTTAAGTTTTTATGTTGTCATGAAACGAAGTGAAATGCTTGGTTCTTTTAAGAGCTCAGTACACAGCAGCTGCTGTTGTCATAGACAGATGCTCAAAGGCACTCTTTAGTAAATTCTTCAGTTGTGTTTCTTACAGTTAGGGATTTTTTTTTTTTTAGCTATCCTGTATTTTTTGTGATAATTTGTATGGCAAAGAAACCAATGATGGTAATAGCATTTATTGTGAATTTCCTATGTGCTAAGTAAGCACTGGGTGAAGGACGTGAGGGTGATCCTTCTGTCATCATGTGCTTGATACAGGGCTTAGTCCAGCTAGTGTGTGTGGGAGAACTGTTACCTAACCCTTCTTGGGAATAATGATAACCATAGTTACTGTTCTCATCAGAACTATATGCTAGCTGGCTCCAAATAATGTTGCAGCAGCATTTAATAAGCTTAAAAAAAAAAAACCTTTGGTTTTACATTGTTGATTAGCTATGATAGCCACACAAGAAAACTACTACTTACTAAAACAGAGATGATTTTAATAGAATAAGAAAAAAACTCAGATTTTCCAGAGTTTTGGAGTATTAATTTTGATGTTGAAGATTTTTAAGTATTTGCAACTTACAGTCTACTGTTTACTCCTTAGAGATAGAATGGTGTAATATTAAAAAAATGAAAGTAGCAGTGCCTTTTAAAATGTGTATAATTAACATGAATATCTCAAAATATTTCCTGAGTGTCTGGTATTTTCAGTTGTACACATGTGGCTTTTTCAACAGTAAATGGACCATTTAGGCAGACCAGTTCCAAACGATTTCAGTATTTGGGGTATTCTGCATCAATAATTAGGAAAAAATGAATCCAGCACTTCTGCTTGAAGAGGCAAATAAACACATATCTGTAATCAATTTCCACTTTACTACCTTAATGGGAAGGAACAACAGCGGGGATAATTAAAAGCTTTCATTTCACAGTAACTTAATTTCTTGGTTAGTTTTTGCTTTGGATTCTTTGTTTTCTGGGATGTAGGGCGGCCTGCAATGGATTTCAAAGTGGCTCAATATGTATTTGTGAAAGAGAGGAGGAATAGCCTTGTAATTAAAATACGTTGCAAATATTGTCAAAAATTAGAATTAATACATAGGGAGTTTATTGTCCAAGACAAAGCAGGCAGTTAACACTTGAATCTGTCGTGACAAGCCCTCCTATCTCCCCTCCCCCATTATCCCCATCTTTTTTTTTTAAGGTGAATGAAATTAGTGTAGGAGTAAGATCAGATACTTAAAAAGGAAAGTAAATCACCAAACTATTTGTATAAAAGCATTTGAATTTGGAATTCAAAGGCAAGTAAGAAGACATTTATTTTAACTTTTCCAATTTACAGATAAGGAAACTGAGATTCTGAGAGCTGATGGGACTTGCACAAGGCCGCAGAGCTATTAGAAGGCAAAACTAATACTGACACATAGACAATATTTACTCAACTAGAAGTTTTCATGATTTTCTTTCAGCTTTATTGAGGTTTCAATGACAAATAATACTGTAAAATATTTGACATGTACAACATGATGCTTTGATGCAGTATGCATTGTGAGAAGGTTTCCCTCACTTTAATAATTTTCAAAAATAAATATTAAACCTCAGTTGGCTTTGCTGTTTTGTTTTTTAGCACACTACTTGGTAAATGTGTGACTTAGCAAATAAAGTGAAAAGCAAAGCCTACTTATATCCAGTGCACTGTTTTTTCCACTTTGCCGGACTGAGGGCAGCCTGCCATGTGCAAAAACAGATAGGAGAGGAAGGGACAGGCCCAATGTTTGCCTCAGTGTTAGTGGAAGTTTTATGGGATGATTTTTAAACCTGGAACCA